GATGCAGAAGTGTGGTAGTATCCACATTTTGTCAGGTAATTATTTTGTTAGGTCGAACCTAACTGCAAAGGGGGTGTTTTGGGTTGGATTCTTTTATAATCGGCTGATATGTTGTGACGTGTATTTTCCACATATGTTTTTCTGTAGAATCAAGATCCTCTTAAAATTAAGATCTTTGCTTGGCTGGTGGAACATAGAAGTATCCTGACAAAAGAATGTTTAGTTAAAAGAGGATGAATTGGGAATGCATTGTGACAATACTGTGTGCAGGAGACACGATTGATCATGTGTTTTTATCCTTCTTCATCTGGAGTGTTTTGAAATGTGCTTTGGAACATGCAGGATGAGGCGTGTTTTAGACAGTGAAACTTCGGTTGCAATGCAAATGATTTGGTATTGGATTTTTTAGTGGTTGCTTTTGCGGAGAAAATTGGCAATTAAAAAAGTGTAGCAGTGGGGAGTAAACCTTTTTAGACACGGTGCCGCACAAGGAGCACACCCCCGGTTCCTTTTCATTGAAAACGAAACCACGACAAAACTCCTTCCCTAGCAACTCGAAGGCGGCTGGTTCCCTCAAAAAAAAACTCAAAGGCGGCTGGGTTTTAAGGTCTACCCGTCTAATGTAGTCTTAGGTCATGGAGGCGTGGTGGATCTCGGTCCTTGCTGGTGGGAGAGCTCCAACTCTGTTTTTAGATGTCTTTTTGTGCCTGTTTAGGTTTGTGTCTTGCTCGGGAAGGCTAGACGACGGCGGCTCTTTGAAGATGGAATAAACTTCTCCCAGCCCAGCCCGGTTCCGGTGGTGCATCTAGCATCGCCGGTGCACGTGGGGAGGTGTGTCTCCGGCGGATTTGTCTTTGGTGGATTTGCTCGGATCTGGTTGTCGTTTGGTTTGATCCTTCTGATCTATGTTACTCTTCATCGGTGACTATTGTTGTTCTGATGTGCTGGTCTATAGGGCCTTAGCATGAAGACTTTCTCCTTTTTTGAGAAAATTACGGATCTATTTATCTTTAATCATGTCCGTACAATGAACACGAGAAATAATAAAAATTATATCTAGATTCGTAGACCACCTAGCGACGACTACAAGCACTGAAGCGAGCCGAAGGCGCGCCGCTGTTGTCGCTCCTCCCTCGCCAGAGCCGGGCAAAACTTGTTTTAGATGCAGTCGGGAAACCGCCGTGCTAAGACCCCATAGGACCAGCGCATCAGAATAATAACTGGCGCCGATGAAGAGTAGCATGGAAGGATCCAACCTAAAGATACACAAACGAAGAACGACAACCAGATCCGAGCAAATCCAACAAAGACAGATCCATCTGAGACACACCTTCACATGTCCACCGGCGATGCTACACACATCACCGGAACGTGGGCTAGGAGCGGAGAACCTTATTCCGTCGTTAGGGAGCCGCCGCCACCTCGTCTTTCTGAGCAGGATACAAATCGTAACAAAACTCGAAGAAACATCTAAAAATGGAACCCTCCGACCGACAAAGGCAGGGATCCACCAGGCACCCATGGCTCTAAGGCCATAGGAGACGAGGCGGACTGGCGGTGGGAGGCAGAGGAACCCTTTTTTTGCGAGTTTAAAAGTAGTTTATTCCAAAGTAACAGGCTTACAGTCCGCTAATACAAGATTATGAATGAAGGGGGGAGGCAGAGGAACCCTAATAGTATTATTTTGGAGAGGAGGCCGCCGTGTGGAGGCTGCATAGCACGATGACTTTCCGAGTATCTACTACAACAAGGTTTGCCAGACTCCAATGAGAGATGGGCGATAACGATGGATCGGAAGTTTCCTTCAAAAAAATGAAAAGAAAAAACCACGACCAGCATTCAAGTGCATCATATCCAGCACCTACCTAATGGAAATACAACTTGAGCCACATGCTCCCAAACTGCAGGCTGTTTGCCTCGCCTGAATGTACGCGCACAGCCGTGTGAGATCTCTTCTGCGAGTACTGCGGTTCTGATTAGCTTATTTTGGCATGCCCTGATGTTGGTTGTAACTTGTAAGCCTGGCCAGTGGCTGTTATACCTAATCTGCGTTGCTTGACGCGTACGTAGTTACCCGGAGCTGATCTGTGCTACCGACGCGCTCCTCTTGGGGTCGACCACAACGACCGAGCTGGAAAAAGCAAAGTCATGGAAACCGTTCGCAGATACTACTACTACAAACCAAACACACCCCGTGCCGGTCTCCTCTCCAGATTACTAAACCCAGCTGGCCTGCTAAACCGCTTCCCATATAACCCTCCGCATGCAGCCGTGACCGACGTGACAACCCCCTGCCAACGCCGCATCACACCAACCTACGGCGGGGGCGGCGGCGGAACCAGCTAGCTAGACGATGGACGCCGCCGGCGAGATCCATCGCGGGTTCGGGGGCCTGCGGCGGGGGGGGAGCTCGAACGCCTTCTCGCGGTCGTCCCACCGCGCGGACGAGCACGACGACGAGGAGGCGCTGCGGTGGGCGGCGCTGGAGCGGCTGCCCACCCGCGACCGCGCCCGGACGGCGGTGCTCGACCACTTCCCGGGGCGGGACGACGGCGTCAGGGCGGTCGACGTCGGCAGGCTCGGCGCGGGCGAGCGGGCCGCGCTGCTCCGGCGCGTGGCCAGCGTCGCCGACGACCACGGCCGGTTCCTCGCCCGGTTCAAGGAGCGCGTCGACCGGGTCGGGGTCGAGCTGCCCACCATCGAGGTCAGGTACGAGAGCCTCTGCGTGGAGGCCGAGGCGTACGTGGGGAGCCGCGGCCTGCCCACCATCCTCCATACCTACGCCAATGTGCTCGAGGTACGTATATACTCAAAATTCTACTACATGCTTTCTTCTCTATAAATTTTTTCCTCATAAAACCCTAAACCCCAAAGATCAACATAGGCGCACCGATCTGATAAAATAATTGACCTATCTTTGACATGAAAAATAATAATGGTCTGTGCCAAACTGCCAAATCCGGCCACGCCTACTTTTTTGATAATAAAAAACAATATATTAATATCTTTTCTCACAAAAAATATTAATATCAAGATGATACAACTACAAGTAACACCAAACGACCACTGGAACAACACAATGTCAGGAGCTAGTCGATCGAGGATGCTCACATGACCTTAGATTTTCATTTTTCTGTTATGTGGTATGCGCACCGATTGACATGGCCTGATCGGCTTCAAACAGGGAATGGCAAATTCTCTGCACATCACACCAAATAGGAAGCAGAAGATATCAGTCCTTCACAATGTCAGCGGGACCATCAAGCCGCACAGGTAAAGAAAGAAATTCCAAGCATATTGTTGTGAGTTTGCAAATCATCTTCATTGGATGTACTCCCTCTATCTCAAAATTAGTGTCTCAAGCTTAGTACAACTTTGTACCAAAGTTAGTACAAAGTTGAGGCACTTATTTTGGGACGGAGGGAGTAGTATTTACCTTAACCTCATCGCTGCTATTTCTAGGATGACCTTGCTTTTGGGTCCTCCTGGTGCTGGGAAAACGACGCTGCTCCTGGCGTTGGCGGGGACGCTCCCTTCAAGCCTTGAGGTAATTAATTGGTCCTTTGCTTTTCTTCCTCTCATTACCACTAAAAAAAGTAGCGTTGATCGTTTCATCCTTTGCTGTATCATGATTATTACACCTGGAAAGTATATACTTATATGAAGAAACCCAAAAGATGTCAGGCAAAATAACATACAACGGGCATACGATGGATGAGTTTGTGCCCCGGAGGTCGGCGGCTTATGTGAGCCAAAACGATCTACATATCGGTGAACTGACGGTTCGTGAGACGGTCAACTTCTCTGCAAAATGCCAAGGAAGTGGTCACCGATTCGGTAAGAACTAGAAAAACAAATAGTACTTGAAAACTCATAGCAGTCTGCGGTGAGTAACTTACATTTTCTGCAAAATGACTAGATCTGCTGATGGAGCTATCGAGGAGAGAAAAGGAAGCAAATATCAAACCTGATCCAGAAATAGATGTCTACTTGAAGGTTCGGTGCACTTCTTCCTAAATCACGAGTCGTTTCGTTAAGCCTTGAGCTAAGCTCTAGTTGTTTTGTTTGACACAACGTCTAATCTCTAATTTTGTTTATAGGCTGCTGCAACAGGAGAACAGAAAGCTGAGGTGGTCACGAATCACATACTAAAGGTGCGTGCAAACTCTCCACCTAAGTTCAAAGGGACTGATAGAATACGAAAATGTGTTTATGTTACTGATTCTTTATTTTTCCTTTTCAAATACTGAAGATCCTGGGATTGGATATGTGCGCCGACACAATCGTAGGAAATAACATGTTGAGAGGAATATCAGGAGGGCAAAAAAAGAGAGTGACCACAGGTAATTCATCAAGGGAGTAAGTCAAATACCATGTGTCCTATACGATCTAAGTATCTAACCCATCCATCCTATCTGCAGCTGAGATGCTCGTCACACCAGGACGGGCCCTTTTCATGGACGAAATATCAACTGGACTTGACAGTTCGACTACCTTCCAGATTGTGAACTCCATCCGGCAAACTATTCACATTCTTGGCGGAACAGCAGTTATTTCCTTGCTGCAACCTGCACCTGAGACATATGAATTGTTTGACGATATAATTCTCCTCTCAGACGGTCAGGTTGTCTACAATGGCCCCCGTGAACATGTGCTTGAGTTTTTTGAATCAGTGGGTTTCAAATGTCCCGAGAGAAAAGGTGTAGCTGACTTCTTGCAGGAGGTGAGTTCCATTGTTATGTTCTATCAAGCTTTCTGTAATTATGCATTTGCATAAAACCCCGAAATCTTTAAATACCTAAGGAATACAAAACTAGAAATATCTTGGAATGTTTTGATGCAAAGTTTGATGGCGAATGCAACAGACGGATCATCAACATATTGATATGCTTGGAGAAATAAAAAACATATTTATACAAACCCCTGTCCCAAAGTCAGATTTTCTAATGGTAGGATCACAATTGGCTACAGTGCTGAAGTGGACTGACTATAATTGAAATGTGGTATGCAGGTTACATCAAGGAAAGATCAGAGACAGTACTGGATACACAGTGACGAGACATACCGATATGTTGCTGTGAAGAACTTTGCAGAGGCATTTCAATCTTTCCATGTTGGTCAGGCTATAAGAAGTGAGTTGTCTGTCCCATTTGACAAGAGCAGGAGCCATCCTGCTGCCCTGAAAACATCAAAATATGGTGCCAACATGAAAGAGCTGCTTAAAGCTAACATCAACAGAGAGATGTTGCTCATGAGAAGAAACTCCTTTGTGTATATATTCAAGGCAACTCAGGTGATTCCAAAAAACTAAATTTTATTTTCAGTACATAGTGATCACACACTGATGACTATAATCTACAGAAGTTCTAAGTTAAAAGTATCTCATCATGTTATATCTCTTTATTGTTCAGTTGACGCTAATGGCAATCATCACAATGACGGTCTTTCTTCGGACAAATATGCATCATGACTCGATAACAAATGGAGGGATATACATGGGTGCACTGTTCTTTGGGATCGTGATGATCATGTTCAATGGGTTAGCAGAAGTGGGCCTAACTGTTGCAAAGCTCCCTGTTTTCTTCAAACAAAGGGATCTCCTCTTCTTTCCAGCATGGACGTATTCCTTGCCATCATGGATCATTAAAACACCCCTCTCCTTGCTGAATGCATCAATATGGGTCTTCATAACATACTACGTCATTGGATTTGATCCCAATGTAGAGAGGTAAGGAAACTAATACTGCTACCATACTTTTTTTTATGAATGTATTACAGAAGCTAACAGAAGTAATGAATTACTGCAGACTTTTTAGACAGTTCCTGCTCCTCTTAGTAATGAGTGAGACGGCATCTGGCCTCTTCCGCTTCATTGCTGGTCTTGCAAGGAATCAGATTGTTGCGAACACCATTGGTTCATTCTTCTTATTAATCTGTATGCTTACAGGCGGATTCGTCCTGTCAAGAGGTATGCAATAATACTAGCCTAAACACCATGGTTGACATAGCGAGCTAAGAATGCTTCGATCAAATTGCCTAAGTGCTGTTGCTATTGGCACATTAAATCTTTGTATGAGAATTGCAAATTAAACTGTTGCTCTATATTTTTAACAGAGAATGTGAAGAAATGGTGGATATGGGGGTATTGGATATCACCGCTGATGTATGCACAAAATGCCATATCAGTAAATGAATTCCTAGGTGACAGCTGGAATAAGGTAAGGAGTTCATAAATTATTCAGAAAAGGGTAAATAATCGTCTAACTGAAAATGGTAGACTAAATCATATTGATACTGCTATATTACAGACAATCACCGGTTTCAAAGAACCACTTGGAAGACTAGTTCTGGAATCCCGTGGAATGCTTACTGAGGCAAAATGGTATTGGATTGGTGTTGGTGCATTGCTCGGATATGTGCTGCTATTCAATGCCCTCTACACTATCTGCCTCACATTTCTCAAACGTGAGTTACAATAACTTGTATTTAGGTCCCAATAGAAAGGGTCCTTACAATTGGAGGTATATTTTTAATCTTATACATTTTGCTCTTCAGCATTTGACAGCAGTCAGCAAACAATATCTGAGGAAACGATGAAGATAAAACAGGCTAATTTAACGGGTGAAATTCTGGAAGAAACATCAACACTCGGTAAAGCACTTGTTTTTACATTCATCAATCAGAAATTCAGAATATAATATGCAATATAATGGATTTAAAAATAATCCCTTGATTATGTCCATCAGATACTGCAGATGAGAGCAACGGTGAATCAACTTCAAACAACGCAACAGTGAATTCTTGTCCAAGCAAGAAAGGAATGATCCTCCCTTTTACACCTCTCTCCCTCACATTCGAAGATATAAGATACAGTGTAGACATGCCAGAGGTATTCTTTTTTAATGGAAATATTAAAATTACAATATTTCCTACATATGCATGCTCACTGTGCAAATTCAGCTATGTGTCGTATATAATGGCTTATCCGATCAAATGTAGGAAGTCAAAGCACAAGGTGTGAAAGAGGACCGATTGGAACTGCTGAAGGGTATCAGTGGTTCATTTAGGCCAGGTGTGCTTACAGCTCTCATGGGTGTCAGTGGTGCCGGTAAGACCACACTGATGGATGTGCTGGCTGGAAGAAAGACAAGTGGATACGTAGAGGGCAGCATTACAATATCTGGCTACCCAAAGAAGCAAGAAACTTTTGCTCGTGTGTCAGGATACTGTGAACAGAATGATATCCATTCACCAAATGTGACCGTCTACGAGTCCCTTGCATTCTCTGCATGGCTACGATTGCCAGCTGATGTTGATTCCTCAACAAGAAAGGTTTGCAAAGAACGAAGACTCTACTATAATTTGAATAGTAATACATCACATAATAAGCATATATCATAGAAGAACATGATGAGATTATTTAGTCACTCTTTTCTCCTTTTTATACAGTTTATTATTTAATTGTGTGCTGTACTAACTAATTCATCGCACCAAACCCGGTACACAGATGTTCATCGATGAGGTCATGGAGCTTGTGGAGCTTTCCCCCTTAAAAGATTCATTGGTTGGACTACCTGGTGTGACTGGATTATCAACTGAGCAAAGGAAAAGACTAACAATTGCAGTGGAGCTGGTAGCTAACCCTTCTATAATTTTCATGGATGAACCGACATCTGGACTTGATGCAAGAGCTGCAGCCATTGTCATGAGGACAATAAGGAATACAGTGGATACAGGAAGGACAGTAGTTTGCACAATTCACCAACCAAGCATCGACATATTTGAATCTTTTGATGAGGTACTAAAACCTTTTTTATAGTAGATGTATTTTAGGAAGATAAGGCACAACAACACATTGGCAGTTAACTATGTCTGCAGACACTTTTAACAACTATATCATATATGTTCATACGTGTCTATGCAGCTCTTCCTGATGAAACGAGGAGGTGAAGAGATTTATGTAGGTCCGCTGGGACGCCATTCGTGTGAATTGATTAAATATTTTGAGGTGAGTTGAGAGAGAGAAGACGTATTGTATGTTTCCATATGCAGTTTTATACTACTGAACAAACATGTCATTTAACTGCTTCGCTTTGATTCTACCAAGGCTATTGAAGGTGTGAGCAAGATAAAAGACAGCTATAATCCTTCAACATGGATGCTGGAAGTGACTAGTGCAGTACAAGAACAGATAACTGGGATCAACTTCAGCCAAGTATACAAGAATTCTGAACTATATGGGTAGGTTTCTGGTGGCATTATTGTCCATAGTTTAAAATCTAATCAATTACTCAAAAATTGTGGACATTTCTAGTTTCAATTTTAGACCTTATCTTAATATTTTTCAATTTTGGTTGTGTTTCAGGATGAACAAAAATTTAATAAAGGAGCTAAGCACACACCCCGAAGGTTCAAATGACCTATCCTTTCCAACGCAGTACTCGCAGACCTTCCTCACCCAATGTTTCGCTTGCCTGTGGAAGCAAAGTCAGTCATATTGGAGAAATCCCCCATATACTGCTGTCAAGTACTTCTACACCGTAGTAATGGCACTGTTGTTTGGAACAATGTTCTGGGGCATTGGCAGGAAAAGGTACTAATATATACAAAAGCATAAATGGACTCCAGTCCCCACATATCGAAATTAACCGGGGATATTTCACTCTTGCAGGCAGAGTCAACAGGACTTGTTCAATGCCATGGGTTCCATGTACGCCTCAGTTTTGTACATGGGGGTACAGAATTCCGCGACAGTTCAGCCAGTTGTGGCTGTTGAGCGCACTGTCTTTTATAGGGAAAGAGCGGCTCACATGTACTCGCCTTTGCCATATGCATTGGGGCAGGTACAGTTTACTTGGCATAAACTTCATTATTCTGTCACTTTATTAATTTATAAATGCTAACGAGACAAGACTAGAAATCAGATGCAAGCATGACACATGTGGCCTTGCTAAAATGTTTAAGATCATATTGAATTCATCATACAGAAAATATGGTTAAAGCAATTTTCTCATAAGTGGAGACAAACAAAAGAACAATAAGTCCCCTAACATGTGTTTCCATTTGCAGGTCGCAATTGAGCTTCCATACATCTTTGTTCAGTCTTTAATATATGGCGTGATAGTGTATGCCATGATTGGGTTCGAATGGGAAGCTGTGAAGCTGTTCTGGTACCTGTTCTTCATGTTCTTCACCCTATCATACTACACATTTTACGGGATGATGACGGTGGGCCTGACTCCAAACTACAACATCGCTTCCGTTGTTTCGTCAGCATTCTACACCATGTGGAACCTCTTCTCGGGATTTATAATACCAAGAACGGTAAGTATACTAGTATCTGTTATCAACAGTGAACGCACTTTGCTCCTTGTTTTTCCTAACATACATTCGAATTGGCAACTTTAACTCTTTCTACAGAGAATCCCAATATGGTGGAGGTGGTATTACTGGCTCTGCCCTGTTTCGTGGACACTGTATGGTCTGGTAGTTTCACAGTTTGGGGACGTTACCGAGAAGTTGGACAATGGCATGCTCGTGTCCGAGTTTGTCGAGGGCTACTTCGGTTACCATCACGACTTCCTGTGGGCGGTCGGTCTGGTGGTCGCCTCGTTTGCAGTTCTCTTCGCTTTCCTCTTCGGGCTCTCAATCAAGCTATTCAACTGGCAGAAGAGATGAGTAACCAACTAACCAAAGAAGGCACATCTGAGTTTGATCAGAGGTCATTGTAGTTGTTTGTATAGTAGTGATGTGAAAAACTGAAAATTAATACTGTACTAGCGATTAGATCTGAGGATGTGGAGATTCAATTGTACAGCCGAGCCGACAATTCCTAGAAACGCAACAGCAAGTTCAGTTTTAACTATTTGGTCAAGAAGCTAGGAATATATTCACAACAGTGTCAACACAATAGTATTATCAAATCTCAACTAGTAGTAGCTATTTTCTGAAGATGTAAGAATGCTAATCCTTGGAAATATAAGAGAGAATTTGATTTGCAGCACTAACCAAATAAACATCGAACATCTTCTACTTGTTCTTGACAAGCAGCCGCCCAATCACAAGCATCTCCTCACCGCTGCCAGCATAGGCAGCCGCCGGCGACCCCACCTCCCTCCCTCCCCCGATTCGGAGCAAATGCCGAGGTACTCCGCCATCCTGGGTCGATCCCCCACCGTCCGCCGAACCCGCGATTCGGGATAGATGCGGAGGCGGGCGAGGAAACCCGCGGCGGCGTCGCCGCGGCCCCTCAGAAGGTGGTGGGGATGCTGGGGGGCAGCGACCGCCCGTACGGCGCGGACTGGGACGAGTCGACCTCGCCGCGATTGTCGCCGTCGTCCACTCCTTCCCCTTCCTGCTTCTCGGTGGGGACATGTCAGGACGTCTGAAGGCTTGCAAGTTGGCATCTCTGAACTGAAGAACAGAATGGGCAGCGCAGGGGGCTCGTTCAGAAGTTCAGAAAAAACGTTGGGGCACAATTGAGACCAATTCTACACGAAGAGGAAGATGATGATACAGATTGTTTATTTTAGGGGATGATGATACAGATTGTGAACGTTTAGCATCAAGCAGCTCCCGTAAAAGTCTCTCACGAGATCTCTACTCCTAATGGAGCAGTTGGTAGTCTCCGTCGGTCAATTTTCGTCCCACCTCCCCTGGTTTTCTTTGGTACTTCGTCCTACCTCCCGCTTTTCACCGATCCCCCGCATTTTACCTCCCAACCGATAAAAAAAACATCAAGATACAACTACGGCCATCCTAAACCACGCCGGTTCACAGATATAAAAAAGACCTAAAACGATCAATCACGGTTAACCTACGAAATGACGGGCTGATCGATCTGATCTTCTTGACCTCGATCCCATTGCGAGCCGCGGTCATTCGTCCCCGCCCAACCCTTGGCCGCCGTCACAAACCCTGAAACCCTTGTCCGCCGCCACAAGCGCTCATACCGTAGGTCTCTTTCACAGCCTGCAGTCTTAACCCGGCGGCGACGTCGTCCGAGTGCAAAGACAAAAAGATCTCACGTCCCCGATCCGTCGCTCTTCAGCGGAACTGCGTGCGATCCAGTCGCCGCCGGAGTGGCGATTGCAAAATCAGGTGTGGCGTTTATATATTCCTACCTTTACAAATACTACTCTTACAAATCTGCATCTCTGATCGGTGCCGTGGTCGTACTGCCCAAAATCTGGCATTGTGATCTCGGTTCGGTACCGTGGTCATACTGTGCCATACCTCTTGCTCACATTTTATCAGCCCTAAATTCTTGCAGATCGTGAATCATCTCATTGCAAGGAACTCAGTTTTTGTGCGGGGACGGCCCTCGGGGATGGTGTCATCAGCAGCAGCATCTGGAGGTTAGTTGACACACACAAAAGGTAGTTAAGACTCTTGAATCTAAGGTTTCTATGCCAACACGAAATAGTCAATATTTCTATGCATCTGGAGGTCAGATGGTTGAAAATGATTGAGTGCAGCTACATGCCGGATTAATAAAATCACTCTGAATGGGGAATAATGTCATCGTCCCATATGAACCACCGTTTTGAATGAGAAATAGAATAATTCAAGAAGTCATCAGCAGCAGATACCTGTTTATCACTAATTGACAGCCCCAAATGCTTGCAGGTGGTGAATCATCCCATTGATGGTTTAAGTATATTCATCAAGTGGCAACAGGTATCGGGGACGGTGTCATCATCAGGAGCATCTGGCAAGCACATCGAGTTTGCAGCTCACAACTTCAGAGGATCTCCATTTTCCAGCCTCGAAACAGGGTCACATGCAAAAAGTGACAAACATAAGGTAGTTATGACACTTGAATCTATTTGGTGACATGCAATAGTTAAGGTTTCTATGCCAACAGGAAATAGTCAAGGTTTCCATGGATCTGGAGGTGAGATGGTTGAAAATGATTGAGTCCAGCTACAGGCTGGATGAATAAAATCATTCAGAGTGGGAAATAATGTCATTCTCCCATATGAACCACTGTTTTGAATGGGAAATAAAACCCTTCATGAATGTTTGCCGAGTCCATACCTGTTTTTCTCTATTTGACAACCCCAAATGCTTGCAGGTGGTGAATCATCCCATTGATGGTTTAAGTATATTCATCAAGTGGCAACAGGCATCGGGGACGGTGTCATCAGCAGCAGCATCTGGCAAGCGCTGCGAGTTTGCATCTCACAAATTCAGAGGATCTCCATTTTCCACCCTCGAAACAGCATCACATGCAAAAAGTGACACAAACATAAGGTAGTTACAACACTTGAATTTAATAGGTTCCATGCAATAGTAAACAATCAAGGTTTCTATGCCATCAGTATATAGTCAATGGTCTTATGCCAATGCGCGCATCAGGTGGTTGAAATTGATTTAGTCCAACTACAAATCCTCCCATCAATGAAATAACACCATTCATCAATTTATATACGACTCCGTAACCAACCATTTTTTTCCTCGTAGCATAAATCCATCTTACATTGATTTGAGGCCATAATTGTTTTTGCATAGCTAACATTAATGTCCCATTAGAATTCACTTGCCTTTTCGAACTACTAGCAAAAACACCGTTTTTTTATATCTGGTCCAGTATATGCTGTAGGATGATGCATGTTCAAATTGCAGCACTATCACATAGATTGTTTTGGAAGCCACTTGACCTCCCACTCTTAAGCCAATGCACACAACCTGTTCTGGTGCCAATTGTATAGACTCATGCCAGCTTACATTATATTCTCATTGCCAATACAGCAGATAACTGATGTATAGCATGTACAATCCCTATAATTTAAATCTAGGATCGCTACTATATTGTCAACGCACGAGCAGTTAAATGAGTCCTCATCCTTACTTCAGTTGTGTGTAATTTCATAGGTACACATGGGTAATTCAAGAAGCAGGGCGGTTGATCAGCTACCAGAAGAGGACGTTTCTATAGGTATGCTGCATTTCTATGAGAAAGTACTACACATGGGTTAATGAACATGCGCAAGCTTTTGTCTATAGTCAATTAAAGCCCATTAAAAGCGTGACAACTGTTGAAGTTAATTCTACGGGCATGCATTAACCTATCATAATATGCTGCGCATGAGTTATGTGCACTTTTCATATTCACATAATTAATGGATAATGCTTTTCAGTCCTTACAAGATCTACAGTAGTTGAAGATAACAATGCAAGCATCTTACCCATAGCTCAAAGTGGTGTGGACAATTTAGCTACGGTTACAGGTATAGAGCTTGTGTGAATATTGTTGGGAATGTTGCCATGTAGATACGACGCTTATATCATTGTCCTTATATTCATGTTGGTTGTCACCCTACAGATGGAGAGCATAAAGAGGATTCATTCACAGCTCCGAATACCAATGATTTGGATTTTAGTTTAAATGAATATGGTACTCCCTCAGCCTCATTACGAATGTCAATATTGGTATAACCATATGTTTGGAGTGTATATTTCATTGATTTTTGTTATTTACTGGGTATCACTATACAGATGGAACAAGTTCGCAACGGATTATGGACCTTCATGATGGTTCGTTGTTGGGTTCCAACCATTTAATTCTTGATTGTCACCCTACTATTGGTAACAACTCATACCTATTTGAAATTCTAATATTTAACTTAATGGAGTTCACTTTCATTAACAACATGTGCCTATTCTGATATATTGGTGGTCTACAGATGGTGAACCTCGAAACGAATATATCAATGGTGGGACAAATCTATCAGTGGTGGGACAAATCTATCAGTGGGACAAACCTCGAAACGAATATATCAATGGTGGGACAAATCTATATCCCACGGATGCTTGTCTAACATCGATTATGACCTTATGTATAGATGTTGTGAGAAAGCATTATGGTCTTTCTGTTTTATATTTTTTGACATGTTGCAGACAAAATCAGATGCGGAATCAAAGTCATATATCCAAGGAATCTGACAACACACAAATGCTTTCAGCTAAGGATATAAAAAAAATCCAAGACGTTGTGTTACAAATAGAGGATCAACAGCGCTACTTGTCGAAATCTGGTAATTTGTTTAACTGCAGGTTGCTGAATAATTGTTAAGGCATTTAAGTAGTGGAATTGTTTTCTTATATTTTGCTATATGCAATGGCTGTTTTTATTCACTAACTACCGTATGTTTAATATGCGTTGTAGACCGTAAGGAACTTAACAAAGCCTTGAGGCGGGAAACTTACCGCATTAGCAAAAAACAGGGTTTGAAAATACAACAAGTCGATGGCCACAACGTTGAACGTCGTGCCCTAGGTGATATCATGAATGTTCGTCAACCTAAACTTGTGATCTCGGGTACATCCGGTAATCATTGTTTATCTATTTGTATGCGTGGCTTCTCCTTGGTATAACATAATATAATACTGACCTAACGTTCTGAGTCAGATGACTTGAATGTCACAAAAGATAATGCTGCACTAACGGAAGAAGATCGCAAAAGATCCCATAGAAACGCCCTAAGGAGAGCTTCTTATCGTAGGAAAAAAGAACTTGCATGGATTCATGGTCTACCATATTGGGTTCATGGTCTAGTCAATTGTTTCAGAAGTCTGAACTGATGAAGAAAGATGGCAATATATTTCAAAGCCATATCGAGTTCCCCTGGATCTGGGGTCCATTAATCACATTCTGGGGCGACAGAAGGTGGAGC